AGTGTGGATATGTTCAAATACAAAGTTCAGGACTGGCCTGCTTTTGCACTATGCCTGCTGAGGACAGTGCTGGCACAAATCCGAGCAAACTAACCCGAGTACAGAAAACCAATCCATTAATTTTAGGAGGCAACGTGATGACTGATTTTAAGGAGTATTTAATCCTTTCTTGGTCAGTTTAGGGAGCCCTGTGAAAGCCATAACTGTTGAAAATAATTAGAAAAGTTGTGCAGAAGGTTTAGCAGCTAATTGGCTCCCGCAGCGGAGAACGGAGCTGTTCATTTGCGGTGTTGGGGCAGCTCTGGGCTCGTAACGCTGAGCGGCAGACGCTACAATGGGCCCCGGGAAATAATGCGGGGCTCGGAGATGGTAACGCGGGCACTTGAAAGAGCTGAGCCGAAGGAAGCAGGAATGAGAAAGAAAAAGGGGAAAAAAATCTGAGGGTGAATGAAGAAGCAATAGGAAATCTGAATTCTCGCAATGAGAATATTTGAAAGAATAAAGGGAGGAAGGAGATGAATAAAATAGGTGATGAATAAACAGATGCAGGCAAATGTGCACGGAAGCGAGAGGAGTGAAGGACTCTGCTGGGAGCTGGGATGCCCGGCCCCGCGCTGTGTGGGGGACTGCGGTGAAAACTCTGGTATCCTCTGATCCACTCTCACCTCTGCAATTCCAAATTAATCACCGCCTCGAGAGAAGGGCCGCTTTGTTTGGGGAGGAAAAGGTGACACCTCCACTTGGAAGAGCCCTTCCCCCCGGCCTTCCCTCCATTGTCATTAAAAAAAGAGATAGCAAAAACTGGAAAGAAAAAGAAAGAATGAAAGGCAGAAAGAAAGAAAGAAAGAAAAAAGAGCCTGCTTTGCAACGAGGCCATAAGAAATAATACAGTGAAATAGGTGTGATTGAAACTCCTGGAGCCTCAGGACCCCGCTCTGTACGTTTGTGCTTAAACAAATTAAAAGGATGGCATCTGCTGCAGCTGACAAAGAGAATGATTTATTATTTACCACTTCCAATCGGTTGTATACCTCAGGTAACTCAATAGCACATACTTAAAGTATTATTTAGATTGCAGTGTAAAAAAATCTGCTGAGAGTGTGCTAAAAAGGGGACAAGAAGAGTGTGGTTGGAGGAAGGCACAATCTCAGAGCCATGGCAGTTTGGGACTGGATAATAGCATTAATTAGATAAGCGTGATGCATAATAACTCCCGGGAAGGGGACTCCAGTGGATGGCTCCTCAGAGTTCACCTCTGCGGGCTCTGAGCGCTCTGCGCTGGGCTTAGCACAGCCCAATGCTGCCCGAGAGCTTCAGGTGCACCTCTCCCTCCCTCCCACGTACGGGGGAAGGGCTGGTGCCGGGGCTGCAATGTATGCGCGTCTCAGTGCACGCACGGTCAGCGCTGAGACTGTCTTCGGGAGGAAAAAATGCTGAGGTTGTCACGGGATGTAGCAGCTCCGCTAAGGCCCAAAATAATGCCTTCACCTTAGCCTGTTTCCAGGCATATAAACTCTTTTGTTAGCTAAGAGTGTCTTTGGGGCTCTTCTTTATGCAGAATCTTTTGGTAGAGAATGTGAGGTTTACTTATTTTATTTTACTTTATTTTATTTTACTTTATTTTATTTTATTTTATTTTTCATTTTATTTTATTTAATTTCATTTCATATCTGGCAATGATTCTGTTATCTGATCCTTATTTCCATTAGGCATTACGTGCCAAACCCTAGGGCAGAGCTCTCAGGATTTTTGTGATGTGCTTTGCAGAGTGTTGCAGTGTCTCAGCACCGTTTCTCCGCGTTTCCCTATTTGTGCTATTCGGTCTGTGTGGACTCTAGAGCTGTTTTTGTTTCCCGAGATGGTGTTTGAGGCGATTAACTTTGCTTGCACAGACCGTAGCGGAAGAAAACTGCTCATCAAGAAACCTGCAATTACGGTTTTAAGATTGTGTTCGCAAACGCGTGTGAGAGATAATAAATTATATCTCGAATCCAAAATAGGGTATTTTGCGGACTATTTTTTTGACAGACTAAAAAAAAAAAAGTTTCAGTAAAATGGCATCCGTTATCTCACGAAAGCGTTCTCAAGAAATCGAAGAGTGTATGTGTATAATATATTCTGCCTTAAGTGGCACAAAACCACTGTTTGAGGGAGTGATATATATATATATATATATATTTTAAATTCTGAGCTTGGGAAAAAAAAAAAGGAAAAAAAAAAAAAAGGAAAAAAAAGGAAGAAGAGTTGTAGAGGGGACGTCACCGCGCCCTTTAGAACTGCTTCAGATACTTCTCAGGGTTTGTGGCAGAAGCTGGGGCTCAGGTGTACACCCCCGCATCGCTCGTTTTAACGTGGGCTCTGCAGCAGCACTCAGGCAAAACTTCCACTGAACCCAGTTGCGTTTGGCCTGAACATACCGGAGTTCTGCTTGAAAAAGTGCACTAATACATGATAACTTCTTTTAAAAAGATTTTCTGTTTTTTTATTGGTGATATTTTCCGTTCTGAAAGCTCACTGAGAGTTCTGCACCGCCATTTAGGACATACTGCATAGCTCTCAACAGCACAGTGCAGAACCCAAGGAAGGTGCAGACACGTACCTATTGCACAGTGCAGAACTCAAGGAGGGCGACAGACAACTGGGGATGCGCACACGCACACCCGCGCACCCCGCAGCACCCCTCGGCGGGCTTTGCCCCACACTTCCCCGTGCCGCCCCCCGCCCCCCGCCCAGCGCAGCGCCTGGGTGACGGGGTCAGGCGTGGCGGGAGCGGGGGAGCGGGAGGTGAAGGTGAAGAGCAGCAGCAGCGGGTTCGGGGCTGGCTGCGGCTGCTCGCTGGGCTGTACGGCTGTGCCCAGAGGGCGGAGTTCCTGCACGCTGCTGCCTCA